TTCCTATCCTCTCAGTCCAGGAAGAATTCCCCTTCAAGTTCTACCCAAAGCAGCTTCCCAAAGTTACAGAAAAACTGATAGTCAGGGATGTGGGGATCAGTACTAGTCCTGGAGTGGGCAGGCTCCTCAATAACTCCTGAGATTTTTTAAAGGCAGCAGCTTTGCCTGAAACCATGGCTGTCGTGGTTAACTGTATTCCCAGCATTTAGCACTATCTTGCACGTAGTAGGAACTCAAACTGCTGAATGAATGAATAAACAAATGAGATTAAAAAGCAAAAGCCTAGAACAGCAAAAGGTTAGAACAAAAGAAATAAGCAAAACAGGAGAGGAACAAAAAGCTATATATAACAAGGTAGAAAAACAAAACAATCAAAAAACCTATCATCGCAGAAAGCACTGACAAAGGCAAGAGAATGGGAAGAATTGAGCATATAAGAGAAGAAAAACTGTATATATATATATAAGTAGCTTACTGGTTAGTATACTAACTAGTGTTTTGTTATTTCACATATAAAATACAAATTTTACCATTCCCTTATACCAGTATAATACACATTACATTAACAAATGAATTCTAGAAAGTCCTCTTATAAAAAGCAAAAGAATTAATTCCTGTGTGTGGTGCTGAGGTTTGAACCTGGGGCCTTGTGCATGTGAGGCAAGCACTCTATGGACTGAGCTAGAAATTATAAGAAAGACATTACAAGAAAAAGAAGTTACATACTGAAAAGACAAAACTCCTGGACAAAACACTAACAAATTAAATGTTACAATATATAAAAATGATAATACACCATGACCAAGAAGATTTATCTCAGAAATGTAACATTTGAAAATCGATGTAATTCACTATATTAGTAAATTTAAAAAGAAAAACCATTTCATTTTTGTAATAGGTTCAACAAAGTATTAAATTCAATATTCATTTATGAAAACTCTCAGCAAACCAGCAACACAAGGGAATTTTTTTTTAGGGGGGTTACTGGAGATTAAACTCGGGGGCACTTGAACCCTGAGCTACATCCCCAGCCCTATTTTATATTTTATTTACAAACAGGGTTACACTGAGTTTAGCACCTCACTTTTGCTGAGGCTGGCTTTGAACTCTCAATCCTCCTGCCTCAGCCTCCTGAGCTGCTGGGATAAGAGATATGGGCCACTATGCCCAGCTAGAAGGGAACTTCTTTAACCTAACAAAAGATATCTTAAAAAAAAATTCGATCATATTTAAGGGTGAATGAATGCTTTCCCTCTGAGGTTGGAAACCACACAAAAACATTCATTTTAACTTAACCATGATTAAACATGGTTAATATCAGGTCTCTAGTTAGTGCAATAAGGTAAGAAAAAGAAATTTTAAAACATACAAATTAGAAACAATTATGCTAGGTGAAATAATCCAGTTTTTAGAAAGTACATTCTATATGATTCCATTCTTCTAAAATTCTAAAAAGTGCAAATTAACCTATAGTGACAGAAAAGAGAACGGTGGTGGCCCAGGCAGTAGATAAGGGGAAGGATTACAAAGTAACACAAGTAAAGTTTTGGGAATGATGGATATATTTATTATTCTGATTATCGTGGTATTTTCATAGGTATATGCACTGCATACTATATATATTGAAAACTTAGGTATGTCTTTTTTTTGGTCTATCAACATCTCAATAAAACTGATAAAAAGAAAATTTAAAAGGCATATCAAACTAGCTTTAAAAGGTTAAGGGGCTGAAAATGAAGCTCAGTGGTAGAGTACTTGCTTAGCAAGAATGAATGAAGCCCTGGAAAAAGAAAAAGAAATCTAAGGGAGGAAGTATATAAGTTGTGCTTATAAAAAGAGAGTCAGAAAATGTTAATAGGAAAGTATGGTATGTTGTTAAGGTTGCCAGATATAGCAAATAAAAATGACTCACAGTTAAACTTGAATCTCAGATAAATGAATAATTATTTAGTATAAATATATCCTAAATATTCATAAAACAGTCTAGTGAAAAAAAATGTGGTTTATCTAAAACCTGGGACATACACTAACCGGTTGTTCATTGTTTATGTCTGAAATCCAGATTTAATGGGTCCTGTATTTTTCCCTGCTATCCTAGATGTTGTCTTATCTATACTATGAAATCAAGCCTCTAAAAAGGGTGACTGCTGGAATTGTTTGTTTTGATTTAGCTAAATTTATTGAACAGCTATATGCTTGGTCCAGCATAGTGCTTTATTCATAGTAGGTGCTCAGAAAATACTTTTTGCTCTGCAAACTGTGAGAAGATAGGAACTACATCTATCTTGCATCCATTCTATTCTTGGGGCGTATTACAATAACTGGTGCTCAATAAGTATATGATTAAATGAATAGCTGACTCTCATGCCTCAGAAAATTGCAGGGTTGACCCTTTAACCTCAGCCCTTCTAGCTGGCTGACAGACTTCTTGTACAAGGCCCAGTTCTGATTTCTTGGCTTGTCTCCTTCTTCATTTTGCTGTGTTGTTTTAGAGGTTGCCATTTGGTTTTGTTTTGTGTGTAACCAGACCTACTATTACATACAATGCATCACTCTTGTTCTCTTGCTTTTCCCTTTGGAATCTGGGGAGGTTTCCCTGAGACTCTGAGACCCTCAGCCCCAGGGGAAACTTGAAAGTCCAAAATGCAACAGCCAAGAATTGCTTAATGAAAATATTGAGGCATGTCTTTTTTTGAGTTAAGATTTGGGTTAGGGCTCAAGTTTTGAACAGAAGACTAAAATAAAAGGAAATCTATATTAGTGGTAGGGAGGATTTTATGTATTTGGAGTTTCTTTATCTGTCCTATAAATACCTAAATACAAAATGCTTCCAAATGCTAAGTACATTAATTTTCTTAGATAAAATTAGGAATTTAACCTTAGGTAGTTTACTCCTACAAATGAACAGAGCTTGTAGAAGTTATTTATATTGAGAGAGGGCTAATGTGGTAAAACATGTCTTGTGAGAAGGGGATTTTAGAACTGTAAGAAATCCTAGAAATAGCTTAGTATAACTTATATAATTAGTACTACTACTTTCTTGTTTTGAAGATGAGTATAAGGTCCAGAAATGCTCCCAAGATCACATGATTAATGACTGAAATGAGTGGAAAAGTTATCACTCAAAAAAACCTAGGTGTTCCACTGATTTTTACTTCTACAAACCACTTTCCCTAGTTATTAGCAGGGAAAGGTGGAGGTTATAAGACAGAGTAGTAAATCAAGACCCTTAAGCAACAAACAAACAAACAAAAAACCTTGTGCCAAGAGAATCTATGCTATTTTCCTTGACAAGCTGAATATTATTATTATTATTATTATTATCTTATTTTATTTTATTGCAGAACTAGGTTTCGAACCTGGGGGCCTCACATATGTTAAGCAGGTGCTCTACCACTGAGATACATCTACATCCTTTCTTGGATCTTTCTTAGTTAAAACCTTTCTTCACCATTAAAATTTTTTGTACTCCTCCACAGGTGTATCCTAGGCTGATTCACTCTTCCTGTATAGTTATATTTTTGGCAGGGGTAAGAAAGCCAACTTGACCTGTGAGAATAAAGAGTTACTTATAAATTTCCAAAAGCTTAATAAAAACCATACATTTCTTCAAGACTATCCAGGCTTTTACACACACACACACACACACACACACACACACACACACACACATCATGTTTCTTTGCTTACAGTTAAGATATGTACCTTCCTGGAATGGCTCTTGGTTTTTTTTTCATGCTACAGTTACAAAGAACATTCACATGTAGTTTTATGATTAAGGTAACCCTAATTATTAAAAAAATTATCACCTGCAACCTTCCGCTTTGAATTCAGACATGTAAAGGGAAGATAGGACACAGATATTTTGTTGTTGTTGTTGTTAATAAACATTGGGAAATAAGTTATTAACAAAAACAATGTGCAAAATAAAAAATATTTAAAGACATGGAATCCCCAAGCAAAAAATAGCCAATTGTGTCATTGCTATTGAAGTTGAAAACCACATGACATTATGACATTACTAAATTAAGCATAGGCTACTATGGTTTTGAGATACTTTAGGTCATCACAAAGTTCTGCCTTGTTCTACGCTAACTAAATTTTAGGAATTGGAAAGATTACCGAGATTTCTTGGTGGACAGAATAGCTGCCCTTTTTTTCCCCCTTAGATGCAGATTATAAGGACAAAATACCCAAATGCTTCCATATGAGCACTTTGAGGGAGAAGAAGAAATGAGGTAGGAAGAAAGGGGGATAACACATTTTGTAAACAGGGGGAAAGTTATTAAGTAGGAATTCATCAAATGTTAATAAGTTTTCTTATAGGAATAATTAGAAAAAAAACCACAAAAAACAAACCCGAATCCTACCAATTCCCAGCGCAAATGAGAGAAAAACGCAGTTAAATAAGCAGAGATACTTACCCTCCCAAGGGAAGAAGAGGTGTTATTAAGGTAATAGCGTGCCAAATACTTTGAGAGTGCTGATTGAGAGGTGGTGGAGATAAGGTAACGTTAGCATTCACTTTTATTGTTAAGGTGACGCAAGAAGAGTCACTGCAGTTTTTGTGTTCGGACGTGGCAACTCCGCAAGCTGCAAGTGAAGTAGCGTGTCAGGGCGAGGAAAACTGGGACGCAGTACTGCAATCTACGCTCACAGGGGTCTGTTCCGCCTCCCCAGGCTGCAATCAAGGTTCGCGTGTACCGAAGCACAGGGGGTCTTTCCGCAGGAGGTACCGATGGACACGGAGTATCATGGTATCATTTAAAACATGTGATTTTGAGGTGCTCAGGGTCTAGCATCCCTCTAGCATCCCCCTACTGTTAAAGCCCCGGTCTGGCCAGCGCATAAGGTATAAGCTCCTGTGCTGCGCCCCGACCGGCAAGGGCCGCTAGGAGCTAGCGCTGGCGTGAGCCGCTCTTGCCAACAGCTAGTCTCGATAGCCCCTTCCCCCGCCCGCTGCCGCGGGTAGGAGGGCGAGGACGCCGCCAGCGCGCGTGCGCGCTCCCTCGGTGCAGCTAGACTGCGTGCGTGAGTGGGAGGTGGCAGGCCTCTGACTCTGGCCTTCCCGGCTGACTGTTCCAGCGCGACGTCTCCAGCCATGAACCGGTTTGGTACCCGGTTGGTGGGAGCCACCGCGACCCCGTCGCCGCCGCCGAAAGCCCGCAGCAATGAAAACCTCGACAAAATCGATATGTCTTTGGGTGAGGGGTCGAGTTGGACCGAGTAGGAGAGGGGGGAGGTGTGGGTGGAACCAAGTGGCGCGGTCTGTGGGGGAAGGGGGCCGTTGGCCGCGTTTGCGGATCGAGTTTTCTTGCGGGTGGGCGGAACCGAGCTTGGGGTCCAGAGGGGCACCCGGAGCTAGACCCCGGGTGCCGGAGTCCAGCCTTAGGGATTCCGGCGTCTCCTCAGTGGAGGCTCTCTCTGACGAGGGGCCGTGGGGACGGGGACGCTGCGGGCCGGAGATTTGGAGGGTCCTGGGGTGCGTGTACCCTCGTGTCCCCCAGAGGGGCGCCACCACTGGCCGGTTACCCCGCTCTTTGTCAGGGAAACTCCGCGGGTTTCCCTCGAGCGTGTTCGCCGGGGGCGTTATCGGAGTGGGAACTGGGGGAGCTGTGGTTTCCTAAGACCCAGCTGGGTCTGTGATGGGTTTAGAAGAGTGGTTCCCGGCCAGGGCTTGTTGGGCACAGCCGCTCAGGCCTACTGGCTGCTGACGGGCGCCCCCGGGCCCTGGAGCTCTGTCAGAATAATCGTTAGGCAAGGAGCGCATCAGACGTGTGTTATTAGGTGTGTCTAGAAAAGCACATTCTCCCTATCGTGGCCCCAAAGTTATTAGCTAATTAGAAAAAGGAAATAATAAAAACCGAGGGATTTACGTGGATCGCTAAAAGCCAGGTAGAGCACGGGGTGGGGGAAAGGGGCGGAGGGTCCCGCACATATAAGAAGGGTGGCCTGGTTTGGTGCTATTACATAAAAAGCAAGGTTGATGATTCCGTTAAAAATTTACATCTAACACTACCGAGGCACCAACTTAGATGGTCCAAAAGTAATTACATTTTTGTCGGGATTCAAGTTATGGTATTAAGTGTAATCAGATCTGCCTGCTCTCTTTCCTGCAGTAATTTCAGAGATTTGAAAAGTAAATGCCTGACTAGTGGATTTAGAGGTGTAAGCTTTCTAAGGACGGTATTTAGGATAGTGTTCGGCCTAAAAATATTCTTTTAGTTGCCAATTCTTTCCATTTGTTTGTTTCTTTTTTGTTTTGGTTTATCTGGAAAGTTCTTGGTCAGAAGTCAAGAACTCTTGTTTTCTAGGATTGCCACAGGTCAGAACCCAGTGTGGGAATTAACTAAGTTAACAGAACTAGTATGCTTGCCTTCAAGTTTTGTCTGTTTTGTCAGTAGAAAGCTCAAAAGAAATGAAGAATCTTTTGACCTAAAGCTAAGGAAAGTGTATAACAATATTTATTAAGTGTTTAATAATTAAGTGTTTAATAATATCTGCTAGGCACTGGACTAGGCATTTTATATGTTGCCTTGGTTTATCTACATAATAATTCCATGAGGATTATACTCCTAGTGATAAACAGCATGGAATCTAGAGACACACTGTCTCAGGTGGGGATCCTGCTTTTTCTGCCATTTACCAGCCAAGCGACTATAGGCAAATAACTTGTCAGTGTCTCTTCAGTTAAAAGGTGTTAGTAACAGTTTATCTACCTTATAGGTTTGTTGTAAGTATTAAATGAGTCAATATGCATGTACAAACTGCTTAGAACAGTTCTTGGTACATAATAAGCACTGTATTTTATTTTTACACTACATATAAGCCATTGTTGTTATTCACATTTTACATAAATCTGAGGCATGGAGAAATTAAGTAACTTGCTCAAAGTTATATAGTCAAGCCCATAAGTGGTAGAACCAGGATTTCAGTTTTCTTCTAGACCTTCAAGCTCCAGAGTGTAGGGAAACATTAAATATGTATTCTCATAACTAACACTTCTTAAGCTTACAATTTTTGTTTTTTGTATGTATTTTGTTTGGTGATTATGATATTCAAGTGAATGGAGGGATAATTATCTTCACTGTGGAGAGTTAAAATAGAGCTCAGTCTCTTTTTTTTTTTTTTTGAGACCGGGTCTTGTTGTGTTGCCCAAACTTGCCTTGAACTTGCAATACTCCTGCCTCAGTACCCCCAGTTGCTGGGATACCAGGTGTACACCATGGTGCCTAGCCAAATTCGTATTTTGAATATATTCTCAAGGCTAGACTTCTGGWCAAGAATAAGTAGCAACTTGTTAATGGAAAGTAGTGTTTCAAAAGTAGTGTCTTCTAAGTATTTTCTTTCTGCTTCTTGAGAATTTAACATGTTCATATATTTGATATGAAACCTTATCTTGTTAAAAAAAATGGATTTTAGTATCTTTTTTTTCCCTCCTCTTTTACTTGCTGGAGATTGAACCCAGGGCCTCAGGAATGACAGACACTTTACTGCTGAGCCACAACCCCAAACTTATTGTCTTTAACTTTTAACTTTTTTTTTTTTTTGGTGGTGTTGGGGATCCAACCTGGGCCCTTGCAGCCTTTCACATGCTGAGCCTGTGCACCCTTGAACAACACACTCAGCCCTGGTGTCTTTAACTTTGACAAATCTTCCATCCTTCCTTTCTTCCTTCCAGGGATTGGGCCCAGGGGAATTTAACCACTGAGCCACAGCCACATTCCCAGCCCTTTTGTTGTATTATATTTAGAGACAAGATCTCGCTTAGTTACTTAAGGCCTTGATGAGTTGCTAAGGCTGGCTCTGAACTTTCAATCCTCCTGCCTCAGCCTCCTGAGCTCTTAGGACTACAGGCAGGCACCACCACACCTGGCTGACTTTTTTTTTTTTTTTTCAGTTGTAGATGAACACAATACCTTTATTTTATTTATTTGTTTTTATGTGGTGCTGAGGATGGAACCCAGTGCCGCCTCATACATTCTAGGCAAGCGCTTTACCACTGAGCTACAGTCCCAGCCCCTCACAAATGCCTTTGTGCTTCTCGATTGATCTCAAGAAGACAACAACATACTTTGGGGGAGATTTGAAGTATTTAATATGAATAATATTTGTGAGTAGGAGTCTTATAGATTACAGGTGGATGAAGTAGAGCCATTAGCATTGATCCTTAAAATCTATAATATTTCCTTTTGACTTAGAAAACACTGATTCTAGTCACATAGATTATTTGTACTTTAAACAATTTGGAAAAGAGAATTGAAGTTAATCATTGTTAAGTTTTATTTTGAAGTTGTTGATTATGTACAACATAATCTTTGGTTTATTTGCTTTATCAATCATTAAAATTAATATTGGCATTAGGACTGTAGAGAAAGTGTTTGGATATTTCTTAAATAAGGATTGTTGACTTTTAGTAATCTTTAACAGATATAAATAGGAATCTGGAGTACATTTCGTGTTCCAATCTTCATATTGTTCTCGTGGTGTTAGTAAAATGTGACGTTTATGAATTATCCTGGAATTGTTTGAAAGTGTTTTTTGTAAATAATAAGGCTTGCAGAAATTACAGAAGTCAATATAGAAAAAAATAAATAAAAGTAACCCTGAATGAGTTTGCTAGAGGATGTAACCATTAGCAATTTTTAAAATATTACACCTTTATCATGGCACTTGCGTTCAATTTTGTATTTGTTATTTGAACATCTGATTCATCAATTAAAGATACTTGAGAACAGGGACTGCATTATACTTTTGTTGCTTCTATTACAGCACAGCCTTACGTATACAGTTATTGTGCAAAGTACATACTCAATAAATATTTGTTGAGATGAATTTAGAAATTTTGGTCGGCAATTTACTTATTTTTTGACTACTTATGGTTTTCTTTAAAAAATTTTTTTTTGTAGTTGTCGATAGACAGCATACCTTTATTTTATTTGTTTATTTTTATGTGGTACTGAGGATCGAACACAGTGCCTTGCACATGCAGGGCAAGCGCTCTGCCACTGAACTACAGCCCCAGCCCTCACCTATGTTTTTTTTTTTTTTTTAAAGAGAGAGTGAGAGAGGAGAGAGAGAAAGAGAGACTTTTTTTAATATTTATTTTTTAGTTCTCGGCGGACACAACATCTTTGTTGGTATGTGGTGCTGAGGATCGAACCCGGGCCGCACGCATGCCAGGCGAGCGTGCTACCGCTTGAGCCACATCCCCAGCCCCTCACCTATGGTTTTAATAAAAGGTGGTCATCTTTTTAGAATGGAGAGTTCTGTGATTATGGAAAGTAAGCTCAATATGAATAATTTTTGTAAATGACTTTTTACTTATTTATATTCATTAGGGAAAGAAGTGCTATGGACAGTAGAACTCTTCATTTGTTAGTAGATCTGTTTGGGCTATTTATTTGAACTTTCCCTACAAAAACTTCCTGCAGAACACCAAGCAAAATGGCTGATTTGGGCTTTATCTTATTATTAGTAATGTCTTTTTTTTTTTTTTTTTTTTGGTAGATAGACACAATATCTTTATTTAATTTATTTATTTAAAAATTTGAATACTTTTATTTTTATTTATTTTTATGCTGAGGATTGACAGTGCCTCACACATGCTAGGCAAGCACTCTACCACTGAGCCACAACCCCAGCCCATTATTAACTTCTTAATGGCAATGCTTTCAAAGTAGAAGTTAGGGACATAGGAAATCTATTAACTAAAAATGAGACTGAGTAATTAGTCAGTAAATTAAAATGAAAATAATTTTGGCATTTCCTCTGTTGTAGATGATATTATCAAGTTGAATCGAAAGGAAGGAAAGAAGCAGAATTTTCCAAGACTGAATAGACGACTCCAGCAAACTAGTACTCGGCAATTCAAGATGAGAGTACGGTGGGGGATCCAGCAAAACTCTGGTAAGTTTTGAAAGTAAGTTTTAATGAAATGCTGTTATTTGTGGATTCTTAGTATACTATCTTTATTTTTTTAATTAGAAATTATAATTATACATGGTAGTTAGGTTCATTTTGACAAAGTCATACATATAGGATTTGAATTATCCCATTGCGGTTCCAGTTCCCCTCCCACTCCTTTCCCCCATTCTCTTTTCTCTACTGATCTTCCTTTTGCTCATTCATTCATTTATTTTTTAAGAAACGTTTTGTTTTAGTTGTAGTTGGACACAATACCATTATTTTTTTATTTTTATGTAGTGCTGAGGATTGAACCCAGTGCTCTTCCCATGATAGGCAAGTTCTCTACTGCTGAGCCACAACCCCAGCCCCATCATTCATTTATTTTGATTGGTGCTTTGTATATATACATAAAGGTAGAATTTCTTGTGATATATTTATACACGCTCATAGTATGATTTTGGTAAATTCATTCTGTATTTCCTCTCCTTTTCTGCTCCACTGACTTGCCCTATAGCATATTGTCTTTAGAAAATACATAAAACCTGGTTTTCTTTTTGGTACCAGGATTGAACCCAGGGGTGTTTAACCACTGAGTCACACCTCCAGCTGATTTTTATTTTTTATTTAGAAACAGTGTCTCACTAGCTAAATTGCTGAGGCTGGCTTTAAACTTGGAATCCTCTTGCCTTAGCCTCCCAAATCACTTGCATTACAGTCGTGTGTTATCATGCCTGGTTAAAACCTGTTTTTTTTAAAAAATTTTAAGTTTCCTTAAATAGGTGATGATACTATTTTATTATAAGAGCTGGAGTTGTGGCTTAGGGATAGAGCATTTGCCTAACAAGTGTGAGGCACTGGGTTCAATCCTAGCACCACATGAAAACAAATAAGGGCATTCAGTCCATACGCAACTAAAAAAATATATATATTTAAAAAAAAAAAGAAGCCTCAAAATAGAAATAGTCAAAATCATACCTAGGGTTTAGAATTAGGAAAGATTTTATGTATCATGAGATCCTAGCTTCTTCCCAGTGACATGTTCAAATAGAATAACTAACTCCAGTTTAAATGTTTATTGAAAGTGTACCACTTCACAAGACCTATTTTTGGAGATGATTCTACTTACTAGAAAGTTCTCTTAATTTGAATTAAAACATGCTTATCTATTACTTCTGCAGTATTATAGGAAGCAAACACCCTTTTCTAAMTGAGAATCCTTTTAGTATATGGAGTCAGCTATATATTCTGCATAGAAAATTACATCCAAACTTTTTTCCCCCCTTTTGCAGTGCTGGGGACTGAACCTAGGGTTTTATGCCTGCTAGGCAGATGCTCTACCATTAAGCTACACCCCCAGTCCCTACCTCCAGATTCTTTTTCTTATCATCTAAAACCTTTAGGATTTGCTAACTTCTCCAGAGGTAACACTCTAAATCAAATGCTTTAGATGTAATCTGAATTCTACATATATAGTTACTTTTAGCAGTCTGGAAGCTTATTTATTATTTTGTTCTAAAATGAATTTAAGGCAGAAACTGAACACATATATATTTGATATATATATATATATATATATATATATATACACACACACAAACACACACATATGATATATGATTCGTTACTTAGCAGTAATATCAGCATTTTAGAATAAACTTTTATTCAAATAAAAAGTAAATTTTTTTCATATATAAAAATATCTTTGGGCTGGGATGTGGCTCAAGTGGTAGCACGCTCCCCTGGCATGCGTGCGGCCCGGGTTCGATCCTCAGCACCACATACAAACAAAGATGTTGTGTCTGCCGAAAACTAAAAAAATAAATATTAAAATTCTCTCTCTCTCTCTCTCTCTCTAAAAAAAATATATATATATATATATCTTTGGGCTGGGGTTGTGGCTCAGTGGTAGAGCACTTGTTTCACATGTGTGAGGCACTGGGTTTGATTCTCAACACCACATACAAATAAATGAATTTATAAAAAGATTACATCAATAATTTTAAAAAAATTTAAAAAAAATCTTTGAGAAACTGTTTTCAATTGATTTTTTTTCTATATGTTGAAAAACAAAATGTAATCCCCAGTTGGTTGCATGTAATTTGTTCTATGTTTAACAGCTAATATGTCAGCATGTCCTTAAAATATGTCTAATGGAGATTTGATCCTACCAAAAAAAAAAATTACTCTCAATTTTATTAAATAGCTGATCTAAGTTAGTAAATTTTATGATAGGATATTTAGCTGTAGCAAATAAATATGTAATTTCATTGATTTATATTTAAAGATTTTTTTATAAATGTTCAGTATACCATTTTATATGTGATATTATATGCATACTGTGTATTTTAAAGTAACTATTTAGAGTTCATTGAAACCATGTAAAGTTGTGGTCTTTTGCTTTAAGGAATTTCTTGTAGCAGAAGTAAGATAGAAAAGATAAGAGTGTGAGAAATATCATAAGAGAATTTTGGTTAGTTTTATTGGACTTCAAGTAGGGATTTTGTGCAGTGAGGATCAGGGGTGATTTAATAGATAAGGTGAAATATGCTCTAGCCCATGAAGGATCAGACAAACTTTCTTTTATGGGACTTATGATCTGAGCCTCAAGATAAGTGATATCTAGCAACAGCTTAGATATCACAAAATTGAGCTTGTACTTGGTTTCGTTTCCTGCTTACATGTGACAGGTTAAAATAGAACAGCTGCCACTGTTAAGTATACCATGAATGTGCAGAGAAACATGGGAATGTCTTAAATTCTTATTGGCTGGGAGCAGTTTATTTCCATATTGTAAAGTCAGTGAGGATATTAGTTTGAGGTAAGAGAGCAGAGAAGAATTGGCAGATACTCATTATGATTTTTGATTGTTATAAATAAGTAAATGAAATCTTTCTAACTCCATGGTTGAGATATGATTTAGGTACTCCATAAATACTTAAAACAACCTAATTGTCCTTCAGTGATAGAATACTATACAGCAGTGGTTCTCAAAATGTTGTCTGGGCACCTCAAGGGAATCCCCAAAACTCAAGGGCCCACAAGGTCAAAAGACTATTGTTCTACCAGGACCTTAATTGTGTTTTTATTCTCATGAACTTACAGTAGACTTTTCCTGAAAAAAAAAAAAAAAATATATATATATATATATATATATATGACATGATAATTAAAATAGATTGGAGCAGAAGCAGTGACTTAGTTCAGGCTGCTAAAACTAGGCGGCTTATAACTTCAGAAGTTTTATTTCTCAGTTTTATAGATTGGACCCAAATTAGGATGCCAGCAATATTGGGTTTTGGTGAGGGCCTTCTTTGGGGTTGCAGATTATGGATATCTTGTGATAGCCTCACATGGCAGAAAGGGATAGAGAACTCTCTGGGTCCTTTCTATAAGGCTACTGATCCCATTCATTATAGCTCCACCCTTGTGGCTTTAATTACCTTCCAAAAGCTTCTGAAACTATTGAGGCAAATGATATATGTGTGAAAGAAATTCATAGAAGGGATTAGTCTAGGGATTTAAAAGAGGAAATTTTCTCTCTCTAGTTTTAGTGGTTTTCAAGGAGAAACAGAAGACAGTGAAAAAGGATGATACATATGGGAACGATGAACTATAAACAAGTAGAAATAGAATGTACCAAGCAATAATATTCTACCACTTACTTTTATTGTTTTAATCAGTTTTATTCCTGTTAATGAGACTTTCTCATCAGTCTCATCCAATCTTGAAACTGTACAACATTAATGGATTCCTTCTCCCTTTAATTTTTCTCTTTGCCCTACTAATCCATTCATTTTGAATATTTTCAAATTTCTCGTTCCTTTCACAATTTTTTATCATGTCATGTTTGAGGGGCACAGTAGTATCTGAAATGGTCCTACCTCCTTCTGTTTCCTTCTTTCAATCATTCCAAAGTACTCCTTGTAGGTTATTATAGTTTGAGTGTGAATATAGTGACCCCCTCATTCTTTGTTGCAGTAGTCTTTATCCCTCTTCAAAGCCCTGTATGATTTGAACTCAACATATCCATTCACTTTTTATCCTTTTCCCTAGACTGTCTCTTAATATGCTGTGGTTGCCCATATCTTTGTACTTCAACACACTGACCTGAAATCTTCATATATTTTGTAGTAACTAATCTAGAGACTACTTTTTCTGTGATAATTGTTTTTTCACCTTGGAAGTGTATTATTGATTATATTCTGCCTTTTATTTTCCTTTAATTTTTATAGCCCAGTTTGGACATACATTCAGTTTTTTGAGCTATACCCACCTGCACTTAGATCATGGCTCTCTTCTTTTCCTAACTTGACTTCTCAGTAATCATTGTTCTTTGCCTCACTTTGCATAGCTGCAAAATTAAAATGTTAGTATCAACCTCAAGTTCTTAAGCAATATAAAGCCTTTTTTTAGCACACTGCCTTGCTAGTTGTTCATTGTTTAAAACAAATAAAAATAGCAAGTTATAGATTTGAGTTCATATACAGGTTCCTCAACATGGTTTAATCATATACAAAACAGCAGTTATTTAAGATTTTTAAAGAATTTGTCGTTATTGCTTTTTTTTTGATTATAAAATGAATAACAGTATCATTAGGACTAAGGCTGAACCACCTGAAAAAGGAATAAATCTTCATGTGTATATATTTTATATATATACACACACACATACACACACACACACACACATATATATATATATATTTTTTTTTAGTTGTTGATTGACCTTTATTTTATTTATTTGTATGCAGTGCTGAGAACCAAACCTAGTGCCTCACACATGCTAGGCAAGTGCTCTACCACTGAGCTACAACCCCAGCCCCTGGGAAAGGAATAAATCTTGAAGACTCCCACTTTCTCCTTCTGAGTTCCTCACCTTGTTGGAGAGGGTGAGGCCATGGTCCTCTGGATAGAAAGAAGTTCATTGAGTTTGTATGTTATGGAAGGCTGCCTGTGGAAATGGCCATCTTAAATTTACTAGAGGAATAGGCAGGGCCAAGAGCGAGGCAGATGCCTAAGGCACAAAATTTAAGACATCACTCAAATTTTGTCTTTCTGGCCTCACCATAGTATTAGCCTAATGCATTCTGGCAAGGTTGAGGCAGGCCAGTAATGGGTGAATTGGAAGCTAAAAGGCAATATATTGGTAAGTGGTTCATTCATCTTAACATAGGCTTTTATAACTAACTGTCTTTTGAACTCTGGTCTCAAAATTACTAATAGGGACATCACAGAAAGTTTCAAGAGTTGACATATGCAATCATCCCCCTCTTAGAGAATCCTAGCACACATTAATCCTGAGAACTCCTACAGTAGAGAAAATATTTTAACTTTATTTTTAGCTGTGAAACTTTCTTGTTGCAAGACCTATTAGGATGTTACAAATTTGAGTATCAGATAACATTCAAAAGGTATTCTCCCAAAAGTAAGATGAGAGTGCCCTCTATCACAGTTTTTACTTTGCATGATCCTCTGAAATTTCTGGATGTTGCATTAAGAAATTTTAAAAAAACTGAGGTCTTGAAAGAGGGAAGATCATATCATTGTAGGTGACATAATTATCACCCCCAAATCCAAAGAAAATTAAAGGAAAAAAGAATTTTCGGGTTGGAGGGTGTAGTTCAGTGGTATAGTATTTGTTTAGTATTTGTGACGTTCTGGGTTCAATACCCAGCACCAATGGGAGTGAGGAACAGGGAGAAGAAATCTCAAGAAAATAATTTGAAAAGGACTATAAAAATTAATAATTGATTTCAGTGGAACAGCTAATTACAAAAGAGTGATTAAACCTAGGGGCACTTAACCACTAATCCACCTCAATGGAGGAGGGGAGGCTGGGGTTATGGCTCAGCGGTAGAGTGCTCGCCTCACACATGCAAGTCCCTGGGTTCAATCCTCAGCACCACATAAAAATAAATAAATAAATAAAATGAAGTTAATTGAGTAAAATTACAAAAAAAAAAAATTAAAAAACCTCAGTAGCTTTCTATAGTGCCATGAATGATAATATGAAAATTATTATTAGAAAAGAACCTTTTTTGTAACTGACAACAAGATGTATAAAATAGGAACAAGTTTAACATGCAAGATTTATGGAAAAAAATGGAGCTATGCTGAACCAATTAGTGACAAAATAAAGACTTCTATAGATTGGAGGATATACCATGTTCCTGAATGAAACAGTTCTGTAAAGATGTCAATTATTGAAAAATTAATATAATTTCCTTGTCAAAACATTGAAAGAAATTAGAACTTACCCACAGAAAACTGACTCATGAACATGACAGTTCATGAATGGAAGAATACAGATGGCCATAAAAATGCCTGGAAAAATGTTTATTCTCACTAGTAATCAAACTACCAAAAAAGGCACATTTTTCCCAGAGACTAAGTGATAAAGATTAAGAATGATAATGTTTATACTTTCTATTAGCAATAGAAAAAAAGTAGCACCCTTCTTTAAGTTCTTAAGAATATAAATGAATGCACTCATTCTGGAAAAGATGTTTGCATCTTAAGTAAAAATCTTTAAGAGTTTGCTTTTACTCTTTTCACCTGGTATTTCACCTTCTTGAAATTTGTGTCTTAAGGAAATAGTCATGGATGAGTGTAAAAATGTTTTGGATCCAATGTATCTTAAAAAGTAATGCAATAAAACAATATAAAAACATGAGATAATATTCGTAGCATAGTATTAGTGTTAGGCTATAAGATAGTACTTAGAATATAAAGTTATAGTTGCTACATGATTGATTTGGTTCACCTTATAAGTATTTACTATTAGAAAATGGTAGTAGCACGTAGTGCAGTAGTAATGGTAGTATTGGCCATGCATAGTCAATTTTGAGTTGCTTAAATATAGTTGCAAATTAATGTTAGTATATTTGTAGAATTTCTACAGTGAGCATGTATCTTTAGTAATTAGGAAAAAAGTGTTTAAATCAGTAAGGTTCATGTTGGAAAAGCACAGTAATGTTACCTGCCACAGAAATGAAAATAATGTCCATTGACACTCATTGGAGACTTGATAAAAAGCAATTTGAATAGAATAGGGCTGAAAGTAAAGAAGTCAGATTGCAATGCAGTAATAAATGGGAGATGAGAGAATGATTCTATTTTAAATGAGCACTACCAGAAACAAATGTGAATCACGTAATAATAGATATCATTTAGCTCATTATATTCAAAGTATTATCATTTAAATATATAATTAGTACAGAATCCTTAGTGAAATCTTTTACATTATTTACACCATCTCAATTCAGTCTAATAGTAATTCAGGCATTCAGTAGACACATATAGGGCTGCGGAGTTGGCTTACTGATAACAGCATTTGCATAAAATGCACCAGGTCCTGGGTCAGATCACCAGTACCCCTGCCACAAACACACAGAGCTTAGTGGTTTTGTGTTTAGTGTCTACCAGAATGCACAGATACAGTCTAGATTGTCCTGTTAAGAAAGTAGTGACAGAAGAGAAGGCTAAAGGGAACGTGTGAGAATCATCTGTTCCTTTGTAGTTCAATACAACCACAGAACCCTTCCCAATGGACTTTTATTCCCTGTTTAAAAATGAAATATTTTGTGTAATTCAATAGAATATGGAAATAATAAGTAATAAAATACTCATATATCTACTCTTTCGAGCAGTTGAGTATCCTTTGACTCTCACAGTTGCATTCCTAAATTGACATTGTTTCTTCTCCTTTGGAGATTGAATCCAGGGGCATTCTCCACTGAGCTACAACCTCATCCCTTTTTATTTTTTTATTTTGAGACAGGGTTTCACTAAATTGCCCAGGCTGGCCACGAACTTGTGATCCTTCTGCCTTAACCTCCCAAGTAGCTCCCACCACATCCAGCAATGTGTCTTTTTTTCCTTTTATAGGTTTTGGAAAAGCTAGTTTGAGCCGTAGAGGAAGAGTAACACCTGGAAAGAGACGTCCTTATGGAGTTATCACCGGTCTTGCGGCTAGGAAAGCAACTGGAATTCGAAAAGGGATTAGTCCTATGAATCGTCCACCTCTAAGTGACAAGGTAGAATGATGACTTCATCCTGAGTTAAAAACCCTTTTCCTTTATTTGTACTTACATTTTTATGAATAAGCTTGAGAAAACTTTTGTACCTACAGTTGAACCCAGGGGCACTTAACCACTAATCCACAGCTTCTTTTTAAAATTTTTTTTTAAAGTATATTTTAGATGTTGATGTATGTTTATTTTTTATTTATTTATATGTGGTTCTGAGGATCGAACTCATTGCCTCACACATGCCAGGCAAGTGCTCTGCCACTGAGCCATAGCCACAGCCCCTATTTTTTAAATTTTGAGACAGGGTCTCACTAAATTGCTTAGGGCTTTGTTGAATTTTTGAGGGTGGCTTTGAAATTGCAGTCCTCCTGCCTCAGCCTCCCAAATTGCTGAGATTATAATCATGCACCACCATGCTCAGCTGATTTTTATTTTTTATGCAGCTTTTTAGGGATTATATAAAAATCTTGATAACCAAATAAAAATAATTTCTAGTCATGAGGAACACTTAAATTTCCTCATTCTCAAATAGTCATCTCTCCAGACCTATGGAGAATTGATTCTAGGACACTCCTCAAATATCAAAATCTGTAGATGCTTAAGTCTCTTATTTCAAATGGTGTACTGCTTGCATGTAACTTATGTACATCCTCCTATATAATTTAAATAATCTCTAAATTGCTTGCAATACCTAATACAATATAAACATTATGTAAATAGTTGTTTTAGTGTATCATTTAGGAAAACGGGACAAGAAAAATAAGTCTATTATATTTAGTGAACTCAAGATATAAAGTTATCACAGTTTTGTGATTATAATGTACCAGATATTTTGAAGGAAAATTACATGCAACAATAGCATCATGAAGGATGGTCCTTGGTGGTGGTGGTGGTATTATTATTATTATTATTGCTTCTGGGGATTGAATTCAGGGGCACTCAACCACTGAGTAACATCCCTAGCCCTAATTTGTATTTTATTGACAGATAGGGTCTCACTAAGTTGCTTAGCACCTTGCTGTTGCTGAGGCTGGCTTTGAACTTGCAGTCCTCCTGCCTCAGCCTCCCAAGCAGCTGGGATTACAGGTGTGTTACACTGCACCCAGCCCTTGGTATTATTATTATTTTTCTTATTCTTTTAATATTCATTTTTTAGTTGTAGTTGGACGCAATACCTTTATTTTATTTATTTTTATGTGGTGTTGAGGATCAAACCCAGCACCTTGCATGTGCTGGGCAAGTGCTCGCTCTACTGCTGAGACACAACACCAGCACCCTTGTTGTTATTATTAAAAACAAAATACAAAGCTTGGAGTAGGTATCAGTCTGATCTGTGGTTTTTCTCCTATGTTCTTGATAGTCCTTATCCTTGAGTTTACATTTACTTCTTTTAAATGTTTATGAAAATTAATACTTTGTTGTTTACCTTGTGTAGTCAGTGGATGTTTATGAAGCATTTCTCATATGCTTAAAATAACAGGGGAATCCAGTAAAGTGTAAAATATGGTCCACAAGGTCAAGAACTTTAGTCTTTCATGCAAGATATGGAAACCTAAATTAAGCTTTAATGGTGGATTTAGTTTAATACGCGATGGAAAGAAAAGTGGACATTTCATCCTTTTTTTTATGATATTGAATTTTCCTCTTTTCCTCTCTAACCATTTTGACTCCAACTTCTTTGCTATTATACCCTCTGTTCTTTCTTTTTCACATATTTACTTTGGAACTTGGTCCTCTTATCCCTTGCTTTAGTGTGTTAATAGAATATCTTGAGATAATTAACTTATAAATAAAGAAGGTATATTTTGACTTATACTTTGAAGGTTACAGTCCAAGACTAGGAGGGGCAGGACTCATAGCTTTAGGCCTTTGGCAGGTGCATGTAGCAGAGCAAATTGCCTTCCTCATGACCAAAAAGGCAAAGAGGAAGGGGCGGAAATCCCATAGTCTGCCTCCAATGATCAAAGGACTTCTCTATAAGCCCTATCTCTTGAAACTTCCATAGTCTCTCAGTAGCAATACCCTGGGGACACCTATAACACATGGACCTTGGGACTTATCTAAACCATAGCTTAAGAATCAGAATCATGCTTATATAAAATATTCCATAGTTTTCATCTCTGTTTTTGATTTTTTTTTTTGAGTTCCAGAATCACATTTCCCCATCACCTACACATCTCCAGAGAACCACAAGAAATTAAGTGTAATGTGGCTGTTGTCATATTAGTTTCTCCATCACCCTTATTCACAGATCCAAGCAGTTGTCAGTCTCTGTCCATTCTGCATCAGAAATGTTTACTGTAGTAGGGTTTATTAACAAAAAGCAATCCAATTAATATAGTTTCTTGCCTTCTGAAAGAATATAGAACGATATTTTCCAGTGTTAAAAAGGAAGGCAAATCTTCTGAGACAAAATGAAGTACAAAGGAAACCCGTTGCAGTTCTCAAGAGACCTAACCAGTTAAACAGAAAGTAAGTACTCAGGAATAAGTAAATAATGCACTGTACTGCATTAATAAATACTTCTTTTAGTACGTGTTCAGAAGAATACATTTATAGTGATTCTTGTTATTTTCAAGATAGATATTTGAGATATCTGATCTGAAATCGTACATGGAAGTATTTAGTAAGTTTCCTTATTTCTTGGACACTGTATTTTGGATGACTTGAACTAATATAAATTTATTTAAAAGCATCACTCTTCTTTACCTCCCTTGACAAATAGAATAAAATCATAAAACTGATCATTTTGGTAAAAATTCTATCACCTCAATTAGAATTATTTAAAACTGGAAATTCTGGAAGTTGAATTGATTATTCAGTCTTATGTCTCTTACTATAACACAGAATCATAATGTAGATTATTTGTGGAAAAAACAAACTAGAAAGAAAAAAATTCTGCATGAATGTTTCTTCAGCTGAAATTACTTTCATAATAAAAGGAATAATACAAACCTAAAAGTTATACCTGTTGTGGCATTCTGTTCTATGTAAGGATAAAGTAGGCAGAAAGGAAGCTGACAAGCCGTGAAATTATCTTATTTCAGTGTCCAATACCATTTATTTATCTCATAGAAGATAATTCATATCAAATCCAGAATGAAGTCTTTGTATAAATGGAATGGCTAGAATTGCAGTTGCTCTTTTAATTTTTGAGAATCATTTGTTAGTACCTTTTGTGAAAGGGGTCCTTCTCAAATAAGAACCTGTTGTTTATATGAGACTTACATGTTAATTAGGCTAACTAGAGGAATTTTGCATTTTAACCTCTGTACTGCTGGAAATAGGATTAGGTAGCCTGTTAAGCACCTGTTTATGTAGTAGATAAATAAGAATTTTTTCTCATATTTCACCAACTTTCTATTGAAAATAGAAGGGAATTGGTAAAAGTCAAATCAAATGTAATTTATGAACATGAAACAATAGGAAAGTGAAAGAGTGTCTCTCTGTGGTTCATACTAATATATAAAGGTTTCTGGGTTAGTAGGAAGAGAAAGCTGAAGGAGGAAAGGTTATTTTCAAGTCTTATGTTTGGTTTTCAGTTTGACATGAATGTGCCTAGGTGTGATTGTTTTTTACTAATCTTAAAGCAAATCTGTAAATTTACGTTTTCACCAAATTTATATTACAGGAATTAGCATTAAAATGTAACCTTGTAAATTTCTTCAGACGACAGGTGGAATATTAGAGAATTGAATATTTGGAAAATCAGTTAGTTCAAAATTAGCCAGTTTGTTTATGATATGCTGCAGAAGGAGATATTTATAAATCAAATTCAATAGATTCATTGAAATAAGTGAACAGTTTGAAGTCTTTGTAACATTAAAGTTTTCAGCCTATGAATGAATGTAACTATTTTGCTTATTTTTACTCAAATATTTGAAAGCAAGGTATCTGAGATAACACATGACATATTTGTTTTTGTTGCAGAAATAACATCCCAGCTAATTTTACCAGGAGTGGAAATAAATTAAGCCATCAGAAAGACACTCGTCAGGCAACTTTTCTTTTTAGAAGAGGCCTAAAGGTATTAAGAAGCCTTAATGGTGTTTTCTTTTTACCCAAAGAGAATCCTTTACTCTTAATCATAGTCATAGCTCTTGGTTGAGGCAGGGATTACATTTGGAATGTGGGAAACAACTTTAGGTTAGTTCTTTGTTACATTTCTTTTTTTTGCTCTCAGTAGCAACTTCTTACAAGAATTTATTATTTAATAATAAATTTGTATTTTTCACTTGTTCTAATACAATAACCCCAACAGAGATTTTGCCAGAATTGCACAGACCCCTCTCCTGTACTCTTACACACGCCACACTGAGTTATAAAGTGTTTCAATGCATGATAGATGCTTGAATTCAAATTCTTTGGGATCCACTGCTTTCTCTTTATCCCTCTAGGTTCAGGCCCAGTTGAACACAGAACAACTGCTAGACGATGTAGTAGCAAAGAGAACTCGTCAGTAAGTTTCAATTTGTGTTTTCAAGATGTCCTTTTAAAATTCACAGAACATTAGCTACTCCATTTACTGTGTGCCCCAGTCTGAAAGAAATTAAATGAGACCCAAAATGAAATTAAGCCCCAAGTAAATCCTATTTTATTTTTACTCTTTTCCCTCAAACACTTTTGAGTTTGCACATGTCATTGTTGTAATAGTTTGAGAACCAGGTAAATTAGCATATTTATTTTTCATTGCCTATTATTTTATTTTAACGAAACAGCTTTTTGCCTGTCCCCCCACCGTAACTGCTTTTATATGAATAGAAATTTGTAGAACTTTTGAAAACAATAGAACATTTTTCCTTCACCATAATCTTTTTCTCTATATCCAAAAAATGTGTTTCTGTTACAGTTACGCTCCCCAATTGTGAGTTGTAACACTCTAATTATCAAGTTTTGAGATTAAACTGTTAAATATTATGGCCACTTTTTGGAAATTAAAACATAAAATGTGGTCATGGTTGAAATATGACACTAAGTTTAGTAGGGCATGATTTTGAGCAATCAGAATATAAGAAAAAATGCTATTCGAGCCTAATGCTGGAAGCATTCTTTAGTAGAGAAGGTATGACACTCGAAACCATAAGAAAAGAATTAATAGTCTTCTGTTGCTACTGCAGTGAATCATATCTACATAATAATGACATAGTTCTATTTGTTTTGACCTTTGAGATTCAATTTGTAGACAAAGCATGGAATGGTTAATTTGAAAATAGAATATAATGTAGATGTCACATTTTCACAAATGTTAATATAAAAGTAGAGCTGATAAATAGTGGGAGATAAGGTGGAAAGAAAGATTACAGGGAGTATTATCCTCCCATACAGTAGAGGGGTTTTTAAAAGACACTACTATAAGAAATAGAGATTTAAAATAACGTAGCCTACTGGTAGGAAACTACATGAACACTTCTTTTAGTGAACTGGAAATTACCAGTAAGCAGTAAAAATAGGAAAGATTAGACATGCTACTTCTGGTGAGTGGGAATGGGGAGGAAGCTACTGGGTTGAGAGGCTGGTGGGTTTCATTAGAGGACCTTCTGTTTTTATTTTTTAAATATATTTATTACACTGATACTTAGCTAAATATTCAAGTGTCCAGTTCTTACAGCCAAAGTGCTGATTTGTTATATATAAGCGTCTGTATTTCTTAAACCTAAAGAAGATAAATAAGGGGCTGGGTTATAGCTTAGTGGTATAATGCTTATTTAGCATGTATGAGGCCTTGAGTTTATTCCCCAGCATCAAAATAAGTAGGTAATTTATTTTTATGTGGAAAATAATATAGGATTTATAAACTTCCATTTTAATGAAATTTTTATTTTTTTGAAACTAGATGGCGTACTTCCACTACAAATGGAGGAATTTTAACTGTATCCATTGACAATCCTGGAGCAGTGCAATGCCCAGTGTAAGCCTTTTCTTTCTTTTTATAAGAGTTGTAGCACTCTTAGCATATGAGATAATAGAAACGTATTGAACTTGTACTCAGAGTACGATGCCCAGTTTGGGATAAGGTGAAATGTAATGATAAGATAATACTCATGGGCTGGGGATACAACTCAGTTGATAAAGTGCTAGCCTCATATGTATAAGGCCCTTAGTTCAATCCCTAGCACCACAAAAAAAAAAAAAAAAAAGTAATACTCATGACACAAATTGGAAATAGTATAGTCTAAAGTTTAAAGTTAAAAAAAAACCTCTTGGTTCTGTAGCCTCAAATAACTCCTTGTTAACAGTTTCTATTATTATTATTAGAATTATATTATTATTATTATTATTATTATTATTTTACTGTACTGAGAATTGAAAACAGAGGACCTCTACCACTGAGCTATACCTCTAACCCTTTTTAGTTTTTGAGACAGGGTCTCAATGAGTGCCAAGACTGGCCTCAAATTTGCTATATTCCCACCTCAGTATCCCAAGTAGCTGAGATTATATATAGGTGTGTGCAGCTACCCTCAGTTTCTTTTATATTTTTATTTTAAAAAATTCTATGCAGGGCTGAGGTTGTGGCTCAGTGGTAGAGCACTGGCCTAGCATGTGTGAGGCACTGGGTTCGATTCTCAGCACCACATATAAATTAATAAATAAAGGTCCATCAACAACTAAGAAGTATATATAAAAAAATTCTAGGCATATAAAGTAAATGTATATTTTTAATGTATACATGATAATAAATGAGATGATACTACACATACTATCTATTTTGGACGTCTACTTTTCAGACCACATGGACCTACCTTTACTCTTTAAAGCCTTAGTGGCACATTCTCTTATCTAGATGAACTTAATTTATTGTACTGTAAACTTTCTATATTTATGGAGTTTCTGATCTTTTGCCATCTTGATGATTAAAATCAAAAGAATGTTGGATGGTTCTCTAAGAGCTTACAGGTTATTTTAGTAGAAGACCAAAACTTGGATATCACCATTCATTTGAAATTGTTAAAAACCTTCTCATTCTACCTAAAAGGATATTCTATGAAAAATAATAAATTTTAATCTCTATAGTTATGAACCAGATACATTTTTTAAAGATTTTTTTTTTTTTTAGTTTTAGGTGGATACAATAGCTTTATTATATTTTTATGTGGTGCTAAGGATCGAACTCATTGCCTCACGTGTGCTAGGCGAGCGCTCTACCACTTGAGCCACAACCACAGCCCCCAAATACTTTGTTTTGACAATACAGTAAGATAACTTTAATACATTTGAACATATTCACAAATCAAGATATTTTAAGTACCAAATGATTTATCTGCTTTTAATTGTTAATTTAAATTTTTTTCTAATAGAACTCAGAAACCACGATTAACTCGGACTGCTGTACCTTCTTTCTTAACAAAACGGGAGCAATCCGATGTTAAGAAAGTTCCTAAAGGTGTCCCTCTACAATTTGACATAAATAGTGTTGGAAAACAGGTAAAAAAGTTTTCTGTATTTCTTCAGACCTTTCATTAACAGTATCTTAATAACAAAAATGTAGAATAGCAAATTAAAAAGGATGTTTTAACTCCTCCACCCCAACCCTAGGAAACCACTAATCTGCTTTCTGTCTCTGTAGATTGCCCGTTTTGTCATTTCATGAATTAAATTATACAATATCTATTATAATTCCATTCATTTTTGTGACTGGCACTTTCATTTACATTACTGCTTTTAAGGTTCATCCGTTTTAGTATTTCATTTCTTTTTTATTGTTTGAAATTCATCATATTTATATACCACATCTTATTTATTCATTCTTTAGTTGTTTCTGTTCTTTGACTATTTTGAATAATGATTCTTTGAATATTTGTGTAAAAGTTTTTATGTGAACATGTGTTCATTTGTCCTTGATAAATGTGGTAGATTGTGTGGTAACTCCATATTTAGCCTTTTGAGGAACTGCTTTTTCCAAAGATGTAGCTTTGCTGTTTTGCATTTCCACTATCATATATGAGGTTTCTAAATTTCTTACATCCTTGACATATTGTCTTTTGATTATAGCCATCCTAATGAGTGTGAATTTATATCTAGCTGTTTTGACAGTTTTTGTATTAAACTTGCATCTTGTGATCTTACTTTTCTAATGAATCTGTAGATTCCCTAGGATTTTCCACAAAAACAGTCTGTCAGTTTCCAAATTCTTTTCTAATCTTGAAACCATTTATTTTTCTTGCTTTATTATAATGGCTAGGACCTCCAGTATAGTGTTGAAGTTATAGGACATTTTGTGTTTGCCTGGTTGAGAGCCTGAGGAGAGAACATTAAATGTTTCACCATCGTACTCACTGATATGTTTCACCATTGAGTATGATGTTGTCAAATTTTTCAAAGATTCCCTTTATCAGATTGAGGGAATTTCTATCTGTTCCTAATTTCTTTTTTTTTTTAAATGTTATTTTTTTTTTTTAAGAGAGAGAGAGAGAGAGAGAGAGAGAGAATTTTTAATATTTATTTTTYAGTTCTCGGCGGACACAACATCTTTGTTGGTATGTGGTGCTGAGGATCGAACCCGGGCCGCACGCATGCCAGGCGAGCGCGCTACCGCTTGAGCCACATCCCCAGCCCCTGTTCCTAATTTCTTGAGAACTATTATCATGAATGAATGTTGGAGTTCATATGTTATTTTGATATCCATTAAAAATAAGAATCTGGGCTGGGCATGGTGGTTCATACCTGGAATTCCAGCAACTTGAAAGGCTGAGGAGGGAGGACTGAGAATTCAAAGCCAGCTTCAGCAATTTAGTAATAATTTGTCTCAAAAGAAAAAAATTGGGCTGGGAATATAACTCAGTTCGTAGAGTGCTTGCCTTGCACGCCCAAGACCCTGGGTTCAATCCTCAGCACCACCAAAAAAAGAAAAGAAAAAGATAAAAATTATTTAAAAGGGGTTGGGGATATGGCTCAGTGGTTAAGCGCTGCTGGGTTTAATTTCTGGTACCAAGAAAAGAAAAAGATCTGAAACCAAAGATGAAGAAAAATTTGATCTGGGGGTGTAGTTCAGTGATGGATTGCATACTTTGCATGTGCAAAGCCTTGGGTATAAACCCCAATACAAAAAATAAAACTGGGTCAGACTTACTTTATTTTTATTTTATTCTGTTACTTTGGGAACATTTTGTGAATCGTTAAACAGAAAACAGATTTTTATTTGAATTTCTATTGTGAACTGAGAAATTCAAGATAATTTGTTTTTAAATATTTATAAGTTGAAAAACTTTTTTTTTTTTACTTTTTAAAATACATTTATTTTGGTCTGGGGTTGTGGTTCAGAGGTAGAGTGCTTGCACTGGGTTCGATCCTCAGCACATAAAAATAAAAGATATTGTGTCCACCTATAACTAAAAAATAAATAATAAAAATAAAAACATAGATGCCCTTCAATAGATGAATGGATAAAAAAAATGTGGCATTTATGCACCATGGAGTATTATGCAGTACTAAAAATGACAAAATCATGGAATTTGCAGGGAAATGGATGGCATTAGAGCAGATTATGCTAAGTGAAGCTTGCCAATCCTTAAAAAATAAATGCCAAATGTCTTCTTTGGTTTAAGGAGAGCAACTAAGAACTGAGCAGGGAGGAAGAGCATGAGGAAAAGATTAACATAAAACAGAGTCGAGTGGTGGGAGGGAAAGGGAGAGAGAAGGGAAATTGCATGGAAACGGAAGGAAACCCTCAACATTATATGAAATCACATATAAGAGGTTATGAGGGAAAAGGGATGGGGAAACAAGGGAGAGAACTGAACAACAACAGATTAGGCAGAGAGGGAAGATGGGAGGGGAGGGGAGGGGGGATAGTAGGGATAGGAAAGGCAGCAGAATACAACAGTCACTAATATGGCATTATGTAAAAATGTGAATGTGTAACTGATGTGATTCTGCAATTTGTATTTGGGGTAAAAATGGGAGTTCATAACTCACTTGAATCAAATGTATGAAAGATGATATGTCATGAGCTTTGTAATGTTTTGAACAACCAATAAAAAAAATAAAATAAAAACAATACATTTATTTATTTATTTGTGCAGTGCTGATAGAACTTGGGGCCTTGAGCACGCTAGGCAATCACTCTTATCACTGGGCCACATAACTCTTACTTTTATCCGAGACATCACTAAAGTTGGTGGCAGTGTTTCCAGAGCCTAAAAATAATTCAGATAGAAGTATCCTAAGTATACGACTCATAGGCTTTATAATATACATATATGTGTGGTTTATGTAGTGTGTAATGTGGACATTTTGATTGTTTGGAGATAGGGGATCTGAGTCAGATTGCCAGTTTAAACTCTGAAGCTGTTAGTAGACAGCTTAACTACCTTCCTAACTAACCCTCCTTACTTTCACCTATTTTATGTTGTTAGGTTCAAATGAGATCATATATGTAAACATTCAGAATGTTAACTATTATTAATATTACTGTTAATCAGTCATAAGGTCACATATTATTCCAAAGAAAATATAGTTTTCCGTCAAGTAATTTTCTTTTTTTCTTTTCTATAGACAGGGATGACTTTGAATGAACGGTTTGGAATCCTGAAGGAACAAAGAGCCACTTTGACTTTCAACAAAGGAGGAAGCCGCTTTGTAACTGTAGGATAGATCACATGTCAAAGGAACTTTTGAGTGATGACTCTGGTTGAAAAGTTGGATTGCTTGAAGAGTTCATCACAGAAATTCAAGAAACTTTACTTCAAAATATTCACAAGGCTGAATAACTCTTTATTTTTGAAGTTTTTTTTAAACATGTATAAAATAATGCCCTGAAAAAATAACAGGGAATATACCTATCTCTTCTTAAAGATTTCATGGTTGGCCCATATGGAACAGTTCTGTTTACTTCTTTGGTTCCTCATGCAGCAGAAGGAAGACAGAAAGATAGAAATTGATTATTTTTATGATAGTGGTATTTAGGATTTCATCACCTTTGCTCATTTTTTTAGACTTCACCGTGGTGAATCTTGGTCTTCAGAAATCTGAGTAGGTCCCTTTGTTACTGTCACTTATCCTTTAATAGTGTGGATGTAATAAGTGCAGTTGCCTTTTCTCCAATAGATATATTTTTAAAAAATCTTATGAGAATTTCAGTTTTGGCTTTTAAGATGTATGGAAATATTTAGAACTTGGTTCATTTTTCAGGTAGTGTTAGATTAAACCCCCAGAGTTGTAAATCTTTAGTGGTGAACTTTTAACAAGAAATGTGGCTCTTGGCATTATTCTCAGTTTAAAATATTGGCGTTTCAAGGCTGTAAATGCATATTTACAAAGTTATCTGATAGGGCGTTGGAGAAGATCTGATGTAAAAATCTGACAGTTTTCTGTTTTATTAAATGAAGAAAGCATTTAATGAAAGGAAGTAGTAAGTTGAAGGACCAGAAACTTAAGTGAAAAACTTCAAAATCCAGGTTATAGGTATACTTTTTGGATTTAGTGAAGTCTTTCTAATGTCCACAAATTCTTGACAGGTAATACTATAAAAGCCTTATAATTTTAAAAATGAACTGAGTCCCTTAGATATTTTGATAGTAAAATTAATAGCCATAAAGTACTACAATTCTTACTCAAAAGTTAAAATTTATAAATTTTAAAGTTTATAGCTCCTGAAACAAAAATATACTGTAAATGTAACAAAGAAAAAAATGCAGAATTGCAATAGAATTACATTATAACCTTGTATACTTTTCACTCTGATTTCCAGTAAGATACAAAGTTCAAATATATGAGGAAAGTTTTTTTCCCTACTTTGGAGGGGTGGAGGGAGTTATTCTATGGTGCCAAGATAGTGCTATGAGTCCTCAGCTAGTTGTAGACTATAAATTATAGTAAAATGCCAAAATCCAGCAAAATGCTCCAGCTACAAGTTTAGAAGTTTGGTCGTTTTGAAACTTGACCTTTTGGTTTCCTTTGATGTTCAAACCTCTAAGGAAGTATTAAGTTTCTCTGACATTATTAGTGTTGACTTATCCTATAAAACAAAACATTTAGGTTATCACTTCTGCCTACCTTGCATTGTATACTATACATCATTGTCTCATGCTCTTTGGTTTACTTACTGGTTTATGCTAGTCATGGAAAGCTATCAGTAACAGTTTCATGCTTATACCAAAGAATTATATCTGATCCTTACTATCTTGTATTCTGCCAGTACTTCTACTTGATAAGGGATTATTGGAAACCGGTCACAGAATTTGAAAATAAACATAATTCTCCTTAGCTATTCGGTACTTTTCATAGAGGCCAAGGACTCATTGCAAAACATTTTTCAAGTTTAAATACTTACATTGGACCCAAGAACAATACATTTTAGACAAGTTTAGAATTGCTGGTATCTTATTTTAAAGCAAAGGAAAAACAACTGGGTGTGAGTTTTCTGTTTTTAGAACAGTTTGTGGAAAAACAGTATGAAAATATTCTCATTTTTCTGTTATTTTAAATATTATTATATAGAGGTATTATTAATGCCATTTTTTTTGAAAACCTGAAGAATTGCCCCAAATGTTGAAAGTAAGTGCATCAAATAACAAAGTGTCTTTGGTATATTAAACTTGTTCTTCATGCATCTGTAATTTAATTTTTTTTCAAATTTTTCCTAAATTAAAACTCTTTGAGTGCTAACATGTTGGATATAAACAAAAACATGCAATGTTGAAAGAAAATATCCTTCCTTGGAATGTCATTGTAATCCTTGTTCAGTTCTTAAAGTTTGTTTTTGTTTTTGTTTTAACAGGATGCAATTTAAAATTTCCTTTGCATCAAGGTGTATGCAAAACATTGATGCAGTGCATCACAAAACAAAGTTTGTATTTAATGAGGAGGTGCTTTACACTGTACTTTTTGGTGTTTTTTGGAAAAGTTACATTTAGATCTATTCTGAAGCTGTTCATTTTTAACAAATAAAATGTAACAGGTTTCACATGATTTATTCTTAGCTATGAAGATTGAGTTGTGGTTTTTAGATTGTGTTATATTACAAACAACTTTGTAGTAATTATTTACATATATAGTTTTTAGGATTTGAAGTGTTAACTACCAGCTCAATTGTGAAGAACTTTTATTTACATTTATAACTTTTAGGAACTGAAAAGTTACCTACCAGCTAAATTGGCAAATCAGTCTAGTCTCTTCTATTGGCTTCCTTTTAACTCCTTTTGACCATTTCATTCATAGCCTCCTATAGGAGGTATCCAGGAGTAATTCAAAGAAGGAAATCAGATTACTTACAATGAACCTTTATGGATCACCCAGTTTWAATTCTTCTTTTTACATCTTAATAAAGTGAGACCCAATATATTCCATTGAATGCAGCAATTGTGTTGAGCCTCAGATCTTATAATTCTCAGTTTATAATAAACTGCTTCTCTTCTGTGAATTGAATAGCCACCGAAAGTAGAGTGTTATAAGGCTTGTCAGATATCTAAGAATTGGTTATAGCCACATTTTAGCATTTGTAACATGGTAAGTAAACCTCCTATACCAGTATTGACCAGTACTTCATTACTTTGGTGTTTGAGTTAGGGAGACTTATTAGAAAAGGTCAGTGTTCTTTCTAATCAGACATTATGTATTTTTTTAAACATGCATAAACTTCACCACAATTTTAATTGGACGCAAATCATAAAACACTTCTATGTTTTTGTTAGATAAGGTTATTGTAAGTTGCAGACAATAGCTTTGTAATTCACTTAGTATATGCAATTTCAGGCTAATTTCTGCTTATTTTTTTCTTTTTTTTTTTTTTACAAAGTGGTAATAAGGAAACTAGCTCACTTGGCACTATAGAGAATGAATTCCATACATTCCAAATGCGGGCAACGATATCTTCTTTCCTGATCAAAACTTTTAACTTTTACCAGAATTCTATGACTTTTTTTTTTTTTTTGGTCACTATTAAAAAAAAAAAAACAAGCATATGATTTAAACTTACCTTTAAAGAGTTCTTTTGGACATAGGAGTTAGTCTTTGTCCTTTTTTTTTTTTTTTTTTTTTTTGGGCGGAGAGGCGGGGGGGTGACAGGTACTAGGGATTGAACCTAAGAGTGCTTTACCACTGAGTTATATCCCCAGCTCTTTTTAAATTTTATTTTGAAACAGAATTTTCCTAAGTTGCTGAGGGACTGATTAAATTGCTGAGGCTGGCCTCAAACTTGCCATCCTCCTGCCTCACCCTCCCAAGTGATGGGTATTAAAGTGGTGCACCACTATGCCCCGTTAATCTTTTTGCAAATGACACTTCAATATGAACTCCAAGCATTTGACAAGAATTTTACTATTGTAAACCATTTGTGGGGATTTAAAGATTATTTGCTTGGAAATTATATATTTCAAGCCTCAGTATCAAGAAAAAGATAAAAAGGTTTTCTCCCCTCCCAAACTTTTCTCCTGTGTGAGTACATAACCTATCTTCTGTGTCTGCTGTTTTCCATTTATCCATTCTATTTAATTCCTATTCATGAGCTCTGAGGTATGAGATACAGCATAGAGTTTAATATATTAAGGACCTTAAATCTAGTCTAATGAAACTCAGTCTATAAATTTGGTCAGTTAAGGATTAGCATAGTATTTTGCAAATATAAAGGGATATGTGTGTATGAGGCCATATTAGTAAGAACTTGTCAGAATGTGTAAATGTGGAAGGTAATGATGGTACATTTTGGAAAGAAACGTCTGGCAACTGATCTATAACATTGTAGCGTTATTATGGAATCTATGAGTAAACAGTCATTATGGTTGAAGTCTCAATTATAAAATAAAGTTCTGCTCTAAAAATAACAATTTTAGGAAAACTAGTATAATGGAAACCAAAACATTCATTAATTTTACATATTAAGTATGATATATTGCCATTGAATTGACCCACATCATAACAGACATCAGTAATTTATTAAATTTGCTGAAGACACTAGAATGTAGTATTAAGAGTTCATAGAAAAATTCTTTGAGCAAAGTTGTTACTAATCAACTTTGGCACTGAGTTGCCAAAATTCCTAAATGCAAATAGGAATTTAGGAATTCAGGGAAGTATTAAGGTTTTTTTGTTTTTGTTTTTTTTAAGAGTTGGGCCTTGAATAATGGGTGAGATCTTTCCAACCTTGTTTTCTTTTGCTCTCTGACATGAACTTTCCCATCTGTGACCTCAGTGTTCTCTATATATACCATCACAAATCATAACCAGATGTGTTTATGCTGATCTTTCAATATGGAATATTGCTCTCAGCTTCTAGCTTATTCTACTTAATTCTTCAGGATTGATTGAAAATTTTTTTCATAACGCGGATTCATTTTCTCTGAACTCCGATAGATGATCCCTTCCTACCCCACCTCATCCTCCCTCCTTTTTATTGTTCTTATGCACTAGTAGACTTATATATGTCTGGATTTCACAATAAAATTAGATTATAATCACTCAGGAAAATGACTGAATCTGACAGGCTCTTGTATTTTCAGTGAAAACACTGAAAAACATGCTAGACCCTGATGGCAATATTAGCGAGGTCTAATTGGTCTCAAATGAAGTGATATGTTCCACTTTTACATTACTTGAATGGTTTCAAATTTTGAGCGTTTGCCTCTACCTTTAATTCCCACGTTTAGATTATAGTCAGAGCATTTTTCTTCTCAGTTATGGTTCCAAACAGACATATATTTTAGACCTTAGTATTATTCATCTTGCTCTTACAACCATAAAATCTTGTCTAAAGGACAATTAGGATTGTGTGTCCTMATAAAAGAGTTCTTTTATAAAAGGGAGGATATTTATATAACCCTTGTGGTGGAATTTAGAGCCAAATTAGCACATAATTTTTTCCCTCAATCACTAATAGTAAATCCGCAAATCTCTAATGGATCATCTGGTAGTACAATGACAAGTTGAGAAACGTTTTAGATTATATCCAGAGTTCACTCACACTCCCCAAGTTTCTGGCAGCAACAGTGCTAAGAAAGAATCTTTAATCCTAATCCTCTACTCCTGAGGGAGGCAGGCAAGGAAGTTTTGGTGAGGAGCGTTAAAGATATTTTTGTAGAGATGTATTAGATATGCTACTGTGAGCCTTGTTGGAGGCTACTGAAGGTTTGCGGGTTATGGTTTGATTTCCTTTGAAAAACCTCCATATAGACAGGGGCAGGAGCCCGGCCCAGCGAAGGGGCATCAAAGCTCTGCCTATCATTGTCCCGGGTCTGGGAGCCCCTGTCCCCGCCCACCCATCAGTTCTGTTCGCGCTTGCGCAGAGGCGGCGGCCGGAGAGTAGTCGGCTGGGAAATGGCGGCCGCGGGCTTGGTCGCTGTTGCAGCGGCTGCTGAGTACTCTGGCCCAGTGGCATCGGGTGGTAACCTTTCCGGTGTTAACTGCGGCCCGAGCCTCGGGGCGGGCTCCGGTCCTGGCCCAGGCTCGTGGAGCCGCTCCCTCGATCGAGCCCTGGAGGAAGCGGCAGTAACCGGGGTGCTGAGCCTGAGCGGCCGGAAACTGAGGGAGTTTCCCCGGGGAGCGGCCAACCACGACCTGACGGACACCACCCGGGCGGGTGAGCGGGGCTGCGACATCTCGGACTACTTGAGACCCGGGCGCCGGGGGAGCCCTCCCACTCAGGCGGGGTTCGGGGTAGTTAAAGCTGGTCCCAAAGGCTTGAGGTAGGGAACCAGGTAACGGGGGAAAGACGTCTGCCCCAGTCCACCCAGCCCTCCGGGCCTGCGGGCCTGACGCCTCGGCGCGAGGCGGCGCGCGGCAGCATCTCTCGGGGAAGGGGACCAGAGTATTGATGGATGACTTTTTAGTCTCTCCTAGAAAATAAACCAGCTGCCACTGCTGAGGTAGAACTTTGCCCGCCTGTTTCTGCAGGCCCTTTCGGATTTGAGGTGCCAAATTGACTTCGCTGAGACTTGGGAGTGCAGCACCCTCTTAGATTAGTAGCAGGAGTGTCGTCTCTGGTCGCTGTATTGTCAGCTAAGGAACAATCTCTGCCCTGGCGTTTTTTGAAAGTGTTGTTTGGGGTGGGTGTTTGTGCGCGTGTTCAATGTGAACTCAAAAGCCGCAACTTCTTTCTCCGCCTCGGTCTGGTTGTCTCGCCAAAATTACTTGTAAAAATAACTAGAGCCACCCTTCAGATTCCTATTACTTTCCAACCCCACTCTTCATGTCTTCCAGAAAAAAGGGGGAAAAATGAAGGGAAGAAAATTACTTAGAAAAGATAGATTGCCTATATTTGTTATTACCTTTTACTTTGAAGTATTACTTTGCTTTCTACATATTTTTGAACACAGAAAAGAAAATAGGAAATTAGGTCTTTTTGGTTTTCTTAGTGGTAGGAAACAATGTCTGGTGACTGAAGTACTCAACATACTGTAATATGTTTCTCTTGTGTTTAAAATATAGCTTCCTCAAGGAGTAGATTAAAAGTTGAGTCTATTCATGCTTTACACAAAGGAAAACAATCGCTTACACATGATGTAGTAAAATATCTTATTTTTATATAGTGCTTTTGCAGTGAGAGAATGTGCAGTATTTTGTCTCTTATTCATTCCGTTTTATTCATTTTGTAATCTTGCAGTTAACACCTTTCCTATGTTTGTGCACTCATTAAAGACTGTTAAGTGTTACATGTGATTCACTCATGTTGGAAAAACAAACAGAACTACTTCAAGAAATTAATTCTTCCAAAGAAACTTTTCCCGTAGTGTAAAGTGGAAGAAATTAAATGCCTGCTTATTTACTCTCTTTTTGGAACAGTTGTACTGAATTTGTATTTTTTAAGTGAATGATATTAAAATTAAACTTTCTTGCTAAGGTAAATGTGAGCTGTCACTTGTCTTTTGTATGTGTTCTGCCAGCCAGGATCTGAATTGTCATTCAGACCACAAATTTTTTGGTTCTGTTGAGGACCTGACTATGTGACACAGTGATTTCATGTTGTTGTGAGTCATTTTAGTATTACATTAAACCTGAATCTAAAGAACAAGTTGATTATAGGAGTATATGTAGATCATTATCTTACCTACTTTTAAATTGTTTTAGGAGCAATATGTTGAGCTTTTAAGAAATATTTTATTAACAAAAGACTGAAGGGTGTTTGTGAAGATTAATATGTAATCCCAAGGAAGTTTTATGTTACTATGGTATGATTTTTTTTTTTTAAGTGTTCTGGGCATTGAACCCAGGGCCTTACACATGCTAGGCAAGCACTCTACCACTACATATTCCCAACCCTTTTTAGTTTATTTTGAGACAGAGTCTTGCTCTTTTGAAAGTTGTCAATCCTGTATTAGTCTCCTATGGAGCTGGGATTATAGGCATGTGCTATAATTGCTGCATTGTGCTCTGAATTTTTATACATGTTATTATCCACACTTTTATACCATAGTTCTATATAACCCAGTATTTTTGGTTGATACTTTATCTGGTCAAAAGTGTTGAAAAGAAGATTACAAAGTATATTATAGACTTGGTAATTTGAACAAAAAGCTTCTAACAGATAATTTAAAGCTGATAACATCATTTTTTTGGTTGTTCACTATTTACCCTTCACTGTTAGGTATTTTAGAACACATTGCTTTCAACAGCCCATGAATTAAGTATTATTATTCCTACTTTACATGTGAGAAATTAACTCAAAGTCATATAGCTAGTATTAATGGTAGAATTTCAACCCAGGAACATCTATTTTCTCTATTATGTGAAGCAGCCTTTCCATTTGCAAATAGGTATACTTTTCCTGTTTTTACAGGAAAAAAGTTTAGAAATGTTAAATAATTTGCTTAAAGACCTGTAGCTAAAGGGTAGCAGGGGAGAGAATATTAGTCAGGATTGGAGCCTTGTTTGAGGTAACTCCAAAATCCAGTCTTGCTTTTTTGCATGTACTTGATGAATTCAGATTTATACTAGCTAAAATATTTTGCTTAGACACTGCAGGAAATTTAAAGCTAAGTAAAATTACATCAAAATTGCATCATAGACTGTTCTTTCGTAGTGTATAGAGTATTCATGGTAGAGCTACTATCTTTCAAGAGTTTGTATCCTAGGAAACAGAACATATTACTTAGAGTCTGTTTGTAATTGGACCTGAATATAACTTATTAGGAACATTTTCTTAAAGTTTCTCCTCCTGTTTATTTTTTTAAAAAATAGATCTTTAGGAAAAGAGAAATGTGTATGGGAATAGGTGACTACATCCAGTGAACAAGGATCAATCTTAGAGGAAATTGCATAAAACTTCTTGGAGCAGAAAAGATATAACTTGGGTTTGGGTCGGTTGAAATGAGAAGGAAAGCCATTCCAGATCCAGTGGACAGCATGCAAAAAGTTTTAGGGTATAGGAGTCATCAGTTAGTTTTGCCAATCCACTATTCATTCCCCTTTCATCTGATAGCAATAACTCAGTTTTCCTAGGGAACCACCCCTCTCAGTTACATGAATCTCATCCTGGCACAGGATATTCACATGACTCAGTCCTAACTGTTGGCCAATCAGTATAGTCCATTGCTCTAGCTACAGTGATTGTTCAGAGATGAGCACATTTTTCTATCAGTACACATGAATGTTAATTCTGATTTTTTTTTCTGAACTATTGAGAAAGAGGCATGCTTTGAGCCCTAGAGTTGCTGAGAAAATAGAATACGAGCTTGCCAGTAAAAGGAAGGCAAAGCCAAAAGATGAAAAGAAACGCCATGTTCTAAGAGACAGTGTTTGAACAGTGGGATCAATAGCCATGCCTGAAGTTAGTGCTATACTTGGATTTTCAAATTATGTGAGCTAACAAATTCCATTTTCTGCTTAATTTCAGTAGAACATTTTGATACAAAATAAACCAACAGCGAGACTGCTCGATGTTGTGGTGAGGCCATTTTGGACAGAAGAAATTATTGGATCAGAGAATAAAAGAGCACCCTTTCACATATCTAGGAAGCTAGATCGATGATAGATTTAGACACAGGTCAACATTTTTTCATTTATTTGTGCATATTTGGTGATTAAGGGACTTTGACAGTTGTAGGTATACAGAAAGGACCAAGAACTTAAGTAATCTTGAAAAGAAATAGGTAGGTGTAAAGATTATTTGAATTAACTACTAACAAAACTTCTATGTATTAGGTATTGTGCTAAGTAATTGCGGGGGGACAAAAATAAGAAGAGGCCTCATGGGTATTTAACAATCTAGTAAGTTGGTTGACTCTAGAAATAATTGAAATCTACAAGGGAATGAAAATAGTTAATTATGGACAATGAAAATGTACAAATGCTGATTGAATTTACTTAAAAAATATCTGAACCATTAAATCTGGTAATGCTGTTGCTAATTGAAGCTAACACTGAGCTTTGTGTTGGTCAGCTTTCTTGTTCTGTGACAAAATATTTGAGATAATATTCTTAAAAGATAAAAAGGTTGGGCTGGGCATGTAGCTCAGTCATAGAGTATTTGCCTAGCATGTATGAGGCTCTGGGTTCAATCCTTAGCATCACACATAAACAAACAAGCAAACAAATAAAAATAAATAAATAAAGATGAAAGGTTTAATTTGGCTCTGAATTTCAGAGGTTTTTGACTATGGTCCCTTATCTGTTGCTTTGGGCCTATGGTGGCATAATGCATCCTGACAGGAACATGTGGCAGAGGAGTTTATCCCATGGTTTATCACAAATGTTTATCACATGGTGGCCAGAAAGCAGAGAAACAAGAAGGGGCTGAAGTCCCAATTTCTCTTTAAGGGCACCTTCAATAACTTAACTTTCTTCTACCAATTCCCACCTCCTAAAGGTTCCACCATGTCTTGGTAACACTCGGAGTGGGGACCAATCCTTCCATGCAGGAGACATTTCAAATCCAAACTATAACAAGCTCTTAATATATTTCAGATATTGTGTTAAGATGTAAGTATTTCTCATGAAGTTATAGCAACCATATGAGTTGTAAGTACTGTTTTTCATCCCTAAAAAAGTTGAGACTCAGGAGATTAAGTAATTTAATCAAGATCTCATAGCTAATAAGTGATAGAATGAGGATTCTAATACAGATACTTGTGGTTTTGAACACAAGTCACACTGTCAAAGAAGTTTGAATCATAGAATTTCTTTGATTTGTGTGATATCTTTAAAGGGTTGATAACACCTCTGTTAATCATGTGCAGCAAATAGAAATGTAAATCTGAAGTTTTTGAGTACTGTAGAGCTACATCAATAAATTCAAGAATCACAGAATTTTTAAGATTCTTGAAGGAAAAGTGGAAAGAATAGAAAACCAATTGCCAGCATTTATAAGGCTAATTTTTTAATCTGATGAAAAAAGCAGAAATGAGATTCCATAACCAGACTTGTTCTAGACTTATAGAATCATAAAGCCTAAAAACTATCTAAGTTATTTTATGTAAAAGAAGCATTCTCAAATGATGTGCTTAGGTTTTGTAGTGAGGTGGTATACTGTTTCACAGAAGGCAAGCAGGAGTCATAATTGAAGCTGTAAGAAATCTCTTTTGAGTGGAAGATAGAAAACAAGAAACCAAGCACTCAGCATTGGGAGAAAGTATATGGTTGAGC